TCAGGTTCCATATTAGAATCAATCATGTATTTTTAAAACCACAGATGCTTAGACACCACGCTCAGAGATGCTCATTTTTTTGTGTATTATTGAATGTAAGCCCTGATGTAGATATATATATTTTTATCTAAAGCTTATGATATTTTTTCAAAGCTACCATATTGTTGCTCTTGTCTCTGTTTATCTCTAACATTGTCCCCTGTTGGGATCCTTAACTCTTAAGGAAAAATCGAGAGCGAAATTTCCAAACCTCGTATTTCTACAGAGAAGAAATCTCTCATTGAGTTAAATTTAGGTAATGAAAGTTAATAACTCACACAGACTCTCTCTTATATGAAGAGTGCATTTCATGCAATAATTTAAACAATAAAGTAAATTTGGGGCAATTTTTAGAGCATTGGGCTTTCCTTCTTTGCTTAACTGAAAGCTGTTCTGTTCTTACAACTGGAGAAATGATTTCTTGTACCCATCTTTACAAATCTGAGAAGTGCCCATTATATGTTAGGGTGGATGCAGTTCTGAAAAAGACAGCCAAAGTCTCTGCTTTCATGCAACTTTTATTTCAAAGTCTAATGCATTCAGACCTGGAAACTGAGGTTAGGAGATTTTTCAGGAGAGGAAAAATTCAGGCCACTGATTATTAGGCGAGGATAATCTCTTCAAAATACTCTCCAAATAGACTGATCTTTGAAATATTTGTTTCACTTGTTCATTCAGCAAACTCATCTTGGCCCACTCACTGCTTTCTGGAGCAGGGGTAGGGTGTATAAGCTGGACACAGACATAAACTCCTAGCCATCTCCAATGGAGAGAAGTAGCACTGTACAGAAAGTGGTGTGTGCCACAGGAGACAGAAATGACTCCCAAGTTACAGAGGAGAATGGGAATGAGAGTGAAAAAAAAGGTAGAGGGAATGGAAAAATCATTAGAATTTGACTTGTTACCTACAAAGATGAATCGGATATCCTGCATAAACATACACAGCATTCCCTGCAGAGACTGTGCTTACCTTTTCAGCTAAATAAATTACATATACGAGTAAATCATTTCCATGCTTTAAATGTTATTTGACATTTAGTAAATAAACTAAGTTTAGTTTAAGCAGGACGAGTGTTTTTCCTTCATCTTAAATCACCTATCTCTCTGTCTCTTCCTTTATACACAGACACTTTGACTCTCTTTGTCACCCTGGGTAGTGTCCTGTGGTGTCATAACTCACAGCAACCTCAAACTCCTGGGCTCGAGCAATTCTCTTGCATCAGCCTCCGAAGCAGTTGGGACTACAGGCACCTGCTTCAATGCTTGGCTAGATTTAGAGAGGGGGAGTCTCACTGTTTTTGCTCAAGCAAGTCAGGAACTCCTGAGCTCAATCAATCTACCAGTCTTCCTCTTCCAGAGCACTGGGATTGAAGGCATGGGCCACCTCGCCTGGCCTCACTGTGCTCTCTTGACACTTTTTTCCTTCTTATTTGCACCTCAACAGTCATGGGTAGTATAATTTGAAAAACAGGTGCTCACAGTGAGGCTACTCCTTAATACTGTCTCATATCCTCAAGCTAAACTTCCCCCTGAATTAAGTAAGGGAGTTCTTGAAATTTGGTGAAATGAAAGTAAGGAAAATCAGAATAATTCTATCATAGATCAGTTTCCCAAAGCCTTGACCCAGACTGGTCACTAGATTTATTATTTAAATAGGACTTGAATGAAAAAAAAAAGACTTGTAGTAATATAATCAGAGCTACCTAATGGCCCCAGTAAAATTCTGCTGTAACAAACCCAGCAAGATAAACAACCACTTATGTGCTTGGTAGGCTTATTATGAGCCTACAGAGATTATTTTAAATGCTTATACATGTCATAGTAATTAATGCATTTAGAAAACTAGTAGTTATATAGTCACAATTTCCAGCAATGTTCACTTTAAAAGCCACAGTTCATGTTTTTTTTTTTTTTTTAACACTTTTTGATTGCTTAACATTCATAGGAAAAATGCCCAAGTGTGCCTGTTGTGTTTTTAAGCCGCACAGGAATTTAAAATGAAAAATGATGCCAGGAAACTAAAACCCAGACACCACTTCATGAGCCCGATAGCTCACACAGGGCTCTAATAAGGCGTACATACAAAAGCTCACAGGTCATTTAACTTCCTGATAGTTTAATATTCAGAATGAAATCTGCCAGTAAAAACATATTGAAAATATTAAACACATTGTATTAGATGAGATTACCCCCAGAAAAAAAAAAAGGCAAAGGAACATAAACCCTCCAAAGAAAACATTAGAAGTGTTTAAACGATGTTGAGACGCCCCCTGCTGGCCCACATGCATATTACCCAACTCGACCCACATTCCTTGACTTTTTTGGTAAATTTGGTTGACTTTTTCTTCTGAGGGTATGAATTCTTTCTAGATTTTACATTTTATATGTTTTTCTTCTAGTTGCTATGCTTAAATAGCTAACATGTTGTCACTTTCTCCAGTTTCTTCTAAGCTTCTTAATTTGTCAGACTTTTCCTCGTTTCCCTTTACTCTGTGAACTTTTCCTTTCTGCCTGGGGGCCACTCTGTCCTTCTTTTGCTGGCCATGGCTTTGTTTTTTAACCAATTGGTCTCACTTCCTGTGAGGTTTGGGTTTTGTGGGACTCGGCCACAGCCCGTCTGTGACATGCCTTTGGCTCTTTTTGCCTGTGACTTCCCTCGGTGGCTGCCATCACAGGTGCCAAGCCACAGGCTGACTCCCCTGTGAGATTCTGGAAGGTGAAAGGCCCATAGTTAGATCATCTGTTTCTTCATGAACTGTGTGTAAGTCCACGATTAAGATGGGTCAACTTTCTCATCTTCCACAGAGCATCAGAAAGTTGAATCAAATATCTTAGAACTGATCAGAAAGAAAATACTAAGATATGAGAAGTATAATGCATATTCAAAGACACAAATTGAGAGTAAAATTATATACTTACGCAAGTGCAGGATTTTTGATTATATAGAGTATAGACTCAAGTCTTTTATCTCTAGTATTATATTTGTAAACCATATTTATTTAAAAAAATTTTAGTACATTGAAGTAGTTCCTAACATGACCAATAGGCAGTGTTTTTCAGAGTAGAATAAAAGTTGCATATTCTTAGCTCGGCACCTGTGGCTCAAGTGGCTAAGGCGCCAGCCACATACACCTAAGGTGGCGGGTTCGAATCCAGCCCAGGCCGCCAAACAACAATGACGGCTGCAACCAAAAAAA